GAGTATTTCCAGATTTACAGAGTCAAAGTCTTTTGACATATCTTGACTAAGAATCCAGACCTATTTTTTGATTTCTTTAACATGTTCGATAATATTGTTGATAATATATATGAGTTCTTATGTACTGTTTTCTAGAAGAGCTACCTAGTTTAGTTTAGATAGAATTGTGTATTCTTTTAAGCACCAGGCTATACTGTCAATAATGATTTTGATAAAGATTTTTCTTGCAGCATCGAAAAGGGTGATGGATCTTGTGATATCCAAGTTGTTTTGTCAATTTTTGGGTTTGAATATAGGATAAATGCTACCTTTGCTCTATTCTGTAGGGATTGTACCTTCCTTGATAATGTAATTGAAAATATTTCTTATTTTTTCTAAGGCTTTTTCTTTGAGTTTTTTGAAGGTTAGATATGGAATTTGATTTCTTTCTAGTACTGATTTGCTGCTTCTATCTCTGATTGCTTTCCTTGGTTCTTCTTTTAATATTTCTGTGGTGGTTGAGCAGTACCATTTGGGGTCGATAGAGTCTTTGGGTGAGTATTCTTGTTTCCATGCTGAATATTCTGTTGGTTGTTTGATATTTTTAGCAGGTGTCCATTGTTAAAAGTGTTTCCTAATCTTGTATTTGATTTCTTTTGATTTTGTTATTATGTTGATTTCCTTTTCCTTAATGATTAGTTTGTCTAGTATGATGGGTCTGTGAAGTTTGTCCATGATGCTGTTTATTATTGCTCTTTTATTAATTGCCAGGAACAGTTGTTCTAGTTGCTATTCTCTGTTTAATTGCTTGGTTTTGTTTTTTGTGGATTATAGCCTGGACAATAACTTTGTATACTCGTGATCCATTGTGGAATGAAGTTATTGGGGTGTTCTTTTTGTATATTGAGTAACTATTGTTAGACTTCTATATCTGCTGCTTGAGAAAATTTTGATACTTTGAGTAAGGATTTGTTGACTTTTTATATTGTTTTTAGCCTATTTCAAAAGGACCGTAGTATTATCAAAAGATCTTTTGTTTGCTACTCTTCTTCTTGTATTCTTTTTCTTTGGTGTGGTTTTCTTTTGGGAATATGTAGTTTGATAGCCTTGAGAATATGATTGCATATGGTATTTTACTGCTTATTAATTGTTGTTGATTTGTTGCCTTGTTTACTGAACACTTCTTCTACTTCTCTACTGAACTTTTCCCATTGTTCACTATTTGTCAGTTGCCAATTGTATCTGGAATTGGGCTTATGATGAGTATTGCCTTGAGGTAAGTTGAGTCACTATACTTCTATTTCCATGGTTGCTGGTCAGTGGTCACTAAGAATTAGAGGGTTTAGAACTTTTCCAATATATGCTTTTCTATTATGCCAGGAGAAAAAAGTATTTATCCAAATTTGATCAATTCTGCTGCTGCTGTTATTGTGGTTCCATATGTACTCTCTCTTTATAGGGTTGTGGTATCTATAGGTATATTCTAATCCATGGTTAGTAAGTATTTCTATTTGAGAGTCAGAGGATCTGTTGATGTGCTACAGTTTCCAGTGCCAGTTTTGTTCCATGCTAGATTTGATATACTATTGAGGTCCCCTAGCATTAAGAGGTACCAATTCTTTTGTATTGCTTCTCAGACCCATTGTTTTAGTTTATTTAAGGTTTAAAGTTATCTTTTGTTACTGTGGTCTGCATGAAAGTATACTTCTATAATTCAGAATTTTTGTTTCTTTGAAAACGTTAAATCAGCATAGATGAGTCTTTCTCGCCATGAATTGTGGTTGTATATATGACTAGCTATTTCTTTGGTAAGCCTGAGTTTCAGGCTTGTCCAATCATTTGTTTATAATTGTGAAATCATAGTATATGATATAGTGGATGTGTCTAGTATTTGGATTGATAATGGTTTTCATTGATTTTTGTTGTAATTATTATATCTTATTTCATTGTGGTACATCATTTGAACCATGTTTCTCTTTTGTGTTTGTTAACTAGGCCCTGAGTGTTATAGGTGGTTGTTGTTCATATATTATTTGTTGTAATGTGAAGGAAGGTATTCATATGAGATGGGAGTTTGTATTAAGTATGGTTGTATTTGTAATTTCAATGTTATCATTTTTTTTTTCCTTTTTTACGTGTTGTTGGGGTGATGATATTATAATTCTTTACAATTGTAGGGTTTTTTATTATTGATAGTTAGGTGAGGGGTTGGGGAATGTATTTGTATTTAGAGTATTGCTAAAGATATTAAACATTTTGTCCATGTTTTGATCCAAGCGGTTCATTGTTAAGTGAAATTACTGTTGTTGCAGTTGAATGTCTTGCAAGTTTTCAGGAGTTTTTTCTATATTCTTTATTATACTGTTTGTGTTCTAATAGGGATCTGGTTTTCCTTTATTTGTTTCATATATTCTTCACTATAGTTTTCTAGATTGACAATTAATTTGTCTAGATCAATGATTTCTTCCTTAATTTCTCTAATCTCTTGTCTGATTGTCTTGAGGATGTTAAGAACTTCTTCCATGGCCTTTGTTTTTATAGATATATTGAGTTGTTCATTCTCTTCATTTTGCTTTTGTCCCTATCTTGCGGCTGCTGTATATAAGCCTAATCAGGTTCTCTTGTTAAACTGTTTGTTTCTAGTAATGGCTTTGATTGCTTCAGTGTGAGCTGGTTTATATTTAGTATATAGTTTGCCAAAGTGTTTGATCTGTTCTGAGCAGTATTGATTCCATTGTTTTCATTTCTCTTTGGATAGACAACTAGCTATCAGATGTTTAGCACTGTTACAAATATTGCAAAATTTGGTATTGATTGGTTTCTATTTGACCATAGTTTCTTCCAGGCGGAAGTTCTCATCCATCACTGTATCTCTTGTTTCTTTACTATCAAAACTGATCATGGTGAATCTTTTCCTCCTATAGAAGAGATGTTTGTAAATATAGCATATCTTGGCTTTCGTTTATTTGCAAATATGTCTTAAGTCAAAGGCTGTAGTATTGGATGGAAGATTAGTGAGTTTGGCTGCTATTGCACCTCTTTCTTTCGTCTGCTCCATATTTTATAATGCATCAAAAACCCTGACTGAGTCTGATCTTAATGATATACTCCATTTGTTAAGGATTAACTGTTTATTTTCTTGATTTTCATAAGTGATCGTAGCAGTTTGCCACATCTGTTGAGTTGCTATTGTGATATTGATGATCTTTCCATATTTGGCAAAAGTTTATCGCACTTCAATGAACTTGATATTCAAAGGGATGTCCCATATGACGATACTATTTTCTTTTTTTTGAAAAGGAGTTGTAATTTCCATGTGTTTCAGATGCATATTGGTTGTATCAGGTAAGATAAGATTGCATGTCTCATCTGCAGCTTGTTTGTCACCAAAAATGGTAATGATATGTTTATTTTCTTCTTTTCCTTCACTAAAGACTGACATTCGACCTATTAAGGAGTTTAAGCTTCTTGTTAAGAAAGAGATCTTTTGATTGGTAGTTCTTCCTATGAATTTACTTGCATTGATTTCTGTTTTGGTTCTTTCTCTATCAAATTTGGTTTTCTTGTCAAGTGGGAATTTAGGGTGGGGTCTATCATACTGGTTGGTTTTAATTCTATATTTTGATGCAATTTACTATTCCTTTTTTGCATAATAGTGTTTTGAGATGAGCTTCCTACTGTTTTATCTTCAATTTCCATCTCTGTGTTTGCATCTTCAAGATATTTTTGCTAGTTAAGGCTGTATGTTGATCACTGGGATTGTTTTTTGTACTTCTTGAAAGTGATAAAGTAGTTGATTTGAATATGTTAGTTGAAAGTTTGTTTTTAATTTATTCACTTCAGGGAGTATTATCAACAGCAGTTTTTGCTCTTTTGATGTTATTGATATCTTAGGAAATGTTTTGTCGTGCAGTATTATAGGTCATTAGTTGTTTTATGGATTCGTTTTCTTTTCTTGCTATTGCTTTTCCTTTGCTTTTTGTGTTTTCCTTCATGTTGTTTGTATTCATTTCTGTACATGTATTTTTCATGTGATTCTTTGCCAAAAGATTTTTTTTGTAATTGGGTTGCCCCGAGGTATATTGTTTTTTGGATTCTTGATGAGAACTTATCTCTTCCATTTACTTTCTTTCTTTTTTCCCAAAATTACCAAAAAAAGAAATTTTTTAGAAAAAAAGGATCTGTGGAAAAGAGTTTTTTTGATTGAGTTTTGTATATATTTTCTATAAAGGATTATATAATTATTTTTTTTTTTAATTTATCTTATTTTTTTAAAAAAATTATCAAAAAAAATAAATTTTTAAGAAATAGTTTTTTCTTTAATATCAATACTTTCCAATAAACTATATATTTAATTTTGAAACTTTTTTAAATATTTTAACATTTTCTTTATTTAATTTGAAAATCATTAACTATAATATATTATAATCAAGATATTCTTTTTTCAACTTTCTATTTATTTATTTATTTAAAAATTATTGAATAGATTGATAATATGAATGTTTATATAAGTGAATAAAATATTATCAATATCAAATTTAACTTTTTATAGAGTATGATATATGTCACATAACTGAATGACTATAACCTAAACTAAGCGTACAGTAATTATGCTATTTTAACCCCATCAACCTGTACTCATTTAAATGCATTATACATATGAAATACATATGTATATACAGGATAGCAGACTGAAAGATCGAATTCCCAATCAAATTTGTAAAAAGACATACGCGCGGTCGATATCAAGTACTGAATTCCGAGTACACATCGATCTTTTTACCAATTAAATTCTTTGTTGTTTCGGTAATCCCACAGTTCACAACACATTATCATTCATCAGTGATAATCGATCAAGCATTAAAAATTATCGAGTTGATTTAAAATCAACGTGATTCGATCCTGTTATTTCGCAATTAAATTTTTCATAAGCACAACATTTTTGGCATCTGTCAATTGATCGAAATGTAATTTTTTTTTTATACATTAATTGTGGCTTAAGATTTTCATGTGGCTTACAGGTGCGAATTATAAATGAAAATTTCAATAATAGCAACAATGATGGTAATGACTGGAAACAGAAGATTAGAGAAGGAAGGAGGAAGATGCTAGGAAAACACCCGGATCAAATTCGTTTGCGAGATTATTTGGTTCTTTGGAGCATGATGGAATCGAACCATCAGTTGTTTTTCCAATGGATGATGGGAACAATAATGTGCGGATATTTGCGTTGGAACTTGACACTGTTTCCTCGGCAAATATTGGATGATACGCAACAGTAATATCGACATTGTAAATATTGTAAATCACAATCCTGGAACAAAAGGCAATGTATAACAAACAAGAAATCAAAAAGTCGTGGTGTGCACACAAGGGAACAATGGTAGTGCACGTACTTGCCTAGTATACAAATAAAGCATGTAATACGTATTACGTAATATGTAATGCATGTGAGCTTTGATGATCCATTTAATTTCTTTCCAATGTTTTAGTTGCCACGTAATTTCGTAATTCGAGTACTACCACGATTGTGTCAAAAATACGTAATATATATATATATATTTTTTTTTTGACGAACTCTTCTCGCAAGCTTGATGTGTAATATAATGAAATCGCATTTCTATAAAGTAAAGGGTAATTAGGAAAGGTCGGTCATTAATCCTGCTTTATTTTGGCGTGATTTGGTAAATCATTTATCGTGTAAGCGAATCGAATGGCTTGTCTCTGTCTGTGGAAAACTACTCGGTTGTTATTGATGGGTTTGAAAACAATGACAGCGGAGAAACAAGAATTAGAATTTAGTTTTGAGAACTTTTCGTTCCGAATCAATAACAAAGAGTACGCACGTTGAAGACAGGATTAATTATTGATGAGATCGGCATTTCTGCATGGCGGCCTTAAGTGGCAAGTGATGTGACACAATATGGTGTGTTAACTTTATCCTATTTATGCTATTTATGGTTTATTTAGTTTTGCCCGCGCTTTTGGACATCTGTAGACCATTCCACTCTGTTCGTCTTTCAAATTCCACACGAGGATTTGTACTGCACCGTTCCGCAGCTTTCTGCTTTTTGATAAATTTTTTACCTATATGCTAGCGTTACTGATTTTATTGGATAAACAAAAAAGGTATGACAAATGACGTTTTATTCAACTTTTTCAAATCCTGTTGATCAATCCTGTTATTTTGTTATAAATTACAAATAATTAAACAAACATTTGACATTTTGTTTTACAAAAAGGTTTATCAACACCATATTTTTCCTTTTCTCTTCTTCGTTTCTTATCTTTTTTTCTTTTTTTTTTTTTCCTCTTCAAAAATTTTTCCAATTTCCTTCACAACATCGACCACCGATATTTCATCATTCTTTAAAGTAAAATTCTTTAGGATCATTACTCCCGAATTTTAAAGAAAAAGCATCGCATCGTCAAATCATTTTTAATTTCGCGTAATAATGGCATTCAATCTACATCAACTAAATCCAAGACCTGATGTAAAAGTTGGTTTCAGACTTAACGATGAATATGCATGTACACTGATGCCAAGAATAAAGCAGTTGTTGCGTTGTAATCCTCATTCGAATCGGTAAGGTCATTATTACTTTCAGTTAATTCTTTAGAAGATTCGCAAGCGAACATGACTGATCCAAAAACACTAAAATATCGTCGAAATCCGAAATTCTCTAATTGTAGATTTCCAGGAACTCAGCCGATTGATTTTGAAGAACATCATTTCAAATTATTGGAATCGGAAGAGTACTTTGTGCGGGATAAGACTGATGGAAAACGATATATCTTGTTTTTCACACCAGTCGATGGTGGCACTGCATTTATGGTTGGCATTACTTATTCTGTAAATTTGGAAAACGCATACAAGTGTCTTCTGAATACTCATGTTTGTTTACATCTTTGCTAATTAAATTTTGCATTCTGTATTAACAGATGGATGAATCAAATAAGTTTCGGATCCTGACCAATTTCAAGCTACCTCTGCGAAATAACCACAGCGCAATGCATAATGAAACGATGATGGATGGGGAAATAGTGGTGGAAACCGATAATAACAAAGTATTTTATTCAAAGTTTTATGCTCGAAAAAAAAAAAAAAAAAAAAGGAACTCATCTCTTATTTATTTCTCGAAATGTTTCTCTAAATGGTTATATTTAGCAACGATTGCGTTACCTGATATTCGATCTCATGGTTTTGAACGGGAGTGTCATGATAGAGAGACCCTATAACAAGAGGATGGGTGTAGGCGATCAAATCACTCTTATTATTATTCACGTGCCCTACCGAAATTATTGACAATTTCACGCTTGCCTCGTTTTAGATGCTAAAGCAAGATGTGATCGAGCCATTAAATGCCGTATTGGAGAAAAATTCCGAGATGAGGAATAAAATGCCATTTACGTATGTATCACATACATGTATATATGTTCATGCATATATATGTATGTTTAAATTTGATGACATCGACGCAAAGAAACCTAACAAAATCATAAAAACTTATTGTTTTACTTTCATTTTGCGAAAAGGATGGAAATAAAAAACATGGAATTATCATATGGATTGATAAATACACTTCAAAAAGTTCCTTCATTGAAGCATGGGAACGATGGATTGGTATTTGTTCCAGTGAACCATCCATATGAACCAGGCATATGTAACAAACTGTAAGATTTTTTCTTCTCTTTTTAAGAAAAAAAATTTGTGTCATTAATTCTTCATTTAATTTCTATGTCACGTAAAGCCTAATATGGAGACCCATCAGCCTCATGTATGTTGATTTTAAGATTAAAGTTGTAAAGACTAAGGATCGAAAGCCCACATACCATCTCTTGATCTCTGACGATAGTCAAGATCACAAAGATGATACTGTGAATCATAAATTTTATGATTACTTGACTTTGGATCCGCAAACGGAAGCCAGGTATGTGGTTAAACATGAAAAAAAGTTTAAATAATCGATTTTTGAGGTGTGGTCTATAATATCTTTGATTGCCTTGAGGTGGCTCGAGGATTTACCCGATGGCGTCATTGGACAATTTTGGTACGCAGGTGTTGTGCTTTATTAGTTGCGAAGAAATGGACGATATTGAGTTTATCTACACATATAGGTATGACGAACATTGGAAGACTAATGTACACGAGGCTAATCCATATGTACGAGATGGTGGCTGGAAGTGAGTTATCTTTGTAAGGCCAACCATATTGATTAGGCAAAGATTGTTTCTTGGTTGAACGTTTTAAAAACGTAATGGTTTTTCTTCCTTCCCTTAAATTAGGTTTCACCGATTCAAACATGATAAGCATACTGCCGACACGGAACAAACGTTAGCAGAAGTATGGAATAGGATTCTCAATGCTGTACCACGAGACATGGTGAATTTATTTATTCTCAATTAACCATCGCGTGTTATGTATAATGTTATGTCAAGTTTTGAATTGTATAACTCATTTAATTTATCAAAAGTTGGAAGATCGGGTTAATGTTATAAGGGATAACTGGAAGCGACGGCAGTCTAACAAACCTGGTGGTCTACGAGCACCATCAACTCCCCTCTTACAAACCCCTACTGCCACGCAGACCAGGTATGTTTAATTTGACGAGAGTCTGTAATCGGGTTGCCTCTATTCGGCAATTAGTGATAATTTTCCAAATATCTGCAGCTACTTTCTGGATACCGGTCCGTCATCGCATTCTGATCACGGTCAACTCGTTTCGCCGTCAGAATCTCTTCAACCGCCGCCACACGATTCGCGTCAACCTTTGGCCCTGCGTCAAGATAATTCCGACAGTAGTGAACCATCAGAGACCCTAGAGTCATCTCGACGGCCTCAACAAATTCTATCGACAATAACATCTGAAAATAACGAATTATTCTCGGAAGAACGATTTACATCATTCAATTCAAGTATCGAGTCGCTGGAACGACAAATAACTCCTGAAAATGATCATTTTGAAGATTCAAGTAGCATGATCCAAAAATCTGGTTCCGGTTCACCCGCAGAATCGCAGAAAAAGAATGTCAGCGTCACATCTTTTCCGTCTTTTGAATGTTCGGTACCATTAGGTCACCAAAATGGTCATCAAGATCGACAAGTTGACCCCTCGACTACCAAGCAATCGCGATCTGTCGAATTTCATAAAAGCAATTCATTCTCACAAGAGCAGCTGGTCCCTGCAATATCTTTTGAACTGCGATCAAGTCAGCATTTATCATCATCACAAGGACGAAATAGTTCTTATGAAATGCGGGATTCGACTGAAAAGAAAGAAATCTTCGGTAGCCACTCGCCAAATGAAAATATCACTACTCCACCATCACAACTTGACCGCTGTCGTGAGACATTCCAAAAACAACCTTTATTGGATATAAACGAATCTCAGGAACATCTTAATTCTCACGAAATCCGAGATTATGAAAAGAAGGAAGTCACTGTCAATCGTCAGCCAGACGAGAATAGCAATTTTTCATTTAAGACGTCTCCACCACCTCCATTACTAGATGGTCG